ATGAAGATGAAGATGAAGGAAGTTGGTAGGGTAACCTTAACAGCACTATACAACAATTGTTCAAGGAAAAGGTATGTGCATTTATTGATGAATCCAAAGACTTCCTCATTTTTTTTTCTCACCTTTATAAGATTTTTCTTCAACATTTTCCTTAATCATTAGTTATGAACATGGTCAAATTAATTAAAGTATCTCCTAAATTGTGTTTTTTTATTTTATTTAAATACTGTCCACTTCTCCTAATGATGTTCAACACATATCTAGATATGATTAATGGATTAGAGTGCAAGGTAATGGTAATTTGATGAACTTTTTTTCTTTTAATTTGCTATGGTAATCAAGGAAGCACTTTCACTTATAAGCCTTATTACTACAGTTTTTGCTTTCCCCTTTCAATATATTATTGTGATGGTTATAGAGTGCTCATAATTCCAAAAAGGGCAATCAAGAAAACAATGATCATGACGCTAAAGAAGATGGCAATTAATGGCTGTCAACAAGTTTGGGATTTTAGGTGATGTTTCTATCTCTATGTATGAGATTATTCATGGTCATTGTGAACTTGGTCTTGTGTTTATATATAATTGAAATCTTAGGCATAATCTTTAGAAATCTTTCTACACAAACATATCATAGCATGTATGAGAGAACCTTAAGTCTTATTCTTTTTACTTCAATGTTTCTTGTTATGGAAAAAAAAAAAAAAAGCTTTTTTCATCCATATGTTAGTCCCATTCTTGCTTTCTGCACCATTAATTAATATATGTTGTTCTTATGATTACAAAGTGCCTAGTTAAGATTTTGAAGAAAACTTTGGTAGTTATTCTAAAAAGATAATATTAATGGTGCTAAAGATTGGTGAAATGAATTCTGAGGTGAGTGGGCTTCTACTTCAATCATGTACACTTGTCTCATTTACCTTTCCATTCATATGGAGGCTGCACTCTATGTTTTATTTCATAATTATTTATATGTATTAATGATGATTTCTTATTTCTTTGTAGGTTTTAATGGTGCGCTTATGTTACCAAGTTTTCACATTGCTTTGACATCCAAAAGAACATTTCAATTTCTAAAAATTGTGTGTGACATGATATGATATTATCAAGTGGTTAATTCTGGAAACCACTAGAGACCATTTCATTTTATTTTTCTTGTTGTGTTTGTTTTATTGTGTGAAAGAGAGCATTTGAATTTGTTGTGTATCTTCATTCAAAAAAGAGATGTGATTTGTGAATCAACTATGTTGTCCATCTTAATTACAATTAAACGGTGTTTTAGTTTTGTTTTCACTCAAGAACAGAGACAATAGAAGGTTAATTTACGCATTGTTGAGTATGGTTATGATTATTGGTTTTATGCTTTGGTTTTTATAAAATAGACAACATTACTACTTAATAATTTAGGGTTTTTAGGTTTCTTATGATAGGTGTTCTTTTAAGTTTTGTGGGAGAGCAACTCATAAAGAGAGAATGAGTTTTAAATTTTTTATGAAATTTTCAAATAAACAAAAGGTTAGGTTTAAATAAAATATTATAAATTATGATTTAATTAAATTGAATGAGGTTGAGTTTTAATAAATAATTTTGTAATTGTATTAAATATTGTTATCCATGAAAGCCATAGCTACAAAACTCTAAAATGAGGTTTCTAACTTTATACATATAAAATGAGGTTTTTAACTTATATATATAACTGCTGTGAACCTGCTGTGGTTTTCTACGGCTTTGGAAAAAGTAATCTGAAACAAAATTACTGAATATATGTATATCTAAAAGTACTGTACAGCTAAAAAAAGAGCTTCCAAACGCATCCGAAGTCTGCATACTATCTCCAATTTAATTCCATGTATACTTTCTAAACTCCTCCCTAATTGGCAGAATTTTCCATATATGTACCCCTCTTTTCTGTTGTTTTTTCTTTATATTTCATTATTGTAAACCACTTTCAAAATGCTTCCAGTATTAATCTTCCCAAGAACATTCAATACACCCTTAGCTCTGGTTCCCTGCAGTATTCCTCTCCCTCAAAGAATCCCATTTTTAACAAGTAGAAACAAATGACCTCACTTGCAATCCATCAGTTATTTATTAGTTTATATAACAGAAGCAAAGATTTAAAAAGAAGAATAAATATAAAATAAACCTAGCCATTGGTATCCAAATTAGGAGTTACAACTTACAACAACTTAACTTTGGCTACATTCTAAAAACCAGATGTTGTATATCTGTCACTTTCCCTTCTAGGCTTCCACCTTGCCCCCACCCCCATCCGAAAAAACTTCTACTGTTTCTAAAACCCCAAATTTTCTCAGAAACCAAACACATACAATCACTTCGAAAACATAAAGTAGGGTTCGAAGGGAAAGAAAATAGATATCAACCATTAACAATTAATTATCGAAACATAAAGAAAAGAGAAACGGATTAACGAATCAATGAGGAGAGTACCGTTGCTTAGAAGAGCTCGTGAGGGCAAAGGCCTGACAAGTAGAGGCGGCAGACATCACGGTCGTAGTACTTCCTATTCACCTTTCTTACGTCGCCATTGCGGTTCGCGCCCATCAGCACATCGAGCTGCTTCCGCATGGCATCCATCTTTTTTCTCTTACCCTCTTTCTCTGTCATAGGAAATAACCACTGTGCCTCTGTTTAGGGTGTTTGCTTAGCCCGTGCTTGTTTGAAATCAGGGAGTTGAGGGGAAAGGGGAGTGGACAGTGGAGTGAAAGAGAAGGTTTTTCGTTTTTTCCTTTTTTTATTTTTTATTTTTTTTAGATAAAGTAATTAAAGGAGGGAGATGAAAAGGAGGCTCATTTGAGAGATTTGGACTAGTTTAATTTAATTTATTTTTTTAATACAATTTATATTTTAACTTAATTATAATATATAAATTTATAAAATTTTGATTAATTTTATAATTATTTTATAATTTATTTAATTAAATAAAAAATACATAATCTTCTCCTCTCCTTCTTTTTCTTTTTTTTTTTTAATCTATCCAAACAAAATTAATATTAATTCTTTACTCTTTTCCCTTCTCTACTCTTCCTTTTTCCTCCATTTCTTCACTTTCCTTTACTAATATTTATCCAAACATATCATTAGGGGTTTCTAATTAATGAACTCATTCAATCCTCCTCATTCATGCAGTATCAATAATTAGTGTTATTTTATTTACATACTCGTTTTTCGAAGTTTTAGTTAGACTTAAGTTTAGAATGTTATTGTATTTGTAGTTGTAGATTTTTTTTATTTTTAATATTTTAAAAATATTTAAAAAATATATAAATATATAAAATCTATTTAATATTTATTTTAATTAATATTTTACATATTTTTAAAATAATAAAAAAAACCATAAAAACTAAAAAGTAAAATATGGAAATATGTTATCAAATACAACCTTAGTTGTTTCCTGTGCCGTAAAGTTTTACTTAGTTGTTGCTTGTGCCATGGAGTTTTACCTATTCGCATATTAAGTGTATCAATTATTTCATTTTTATTTTAGAGTGGAGAAAGGAGGAAATGAGGAAAGTAGAAAACAAGAATTAAGAGGTTGTATTATCTAAGGGTTTGTTTAATTTATACTCTCTAGGCATTAGTTATGGGTGCATTAATATCTACCTTGTATGAAAATCTTATTGAAATTAAAATCATGATTAGGATTTTTAGAGAATAGATATCTGGAGATTTGAAAATATTTAGATAAGTCATCCACGTTGGCATTAAGGGCAGACCAATTTGGAATAAGACTTTGCACTTTTTCTCATAATTTCCTTTACCTCTTTTCCCCTCAACCAATTTTTTCTCTCCCCCAAACACCCTTGATTATCTTGTTGATATCAAACCAACATATCTTTAGTTTTCTAATTTCCTCATTCCCTACTTCCTCCACTTTAAAAAAGGGATTGATTAAAATATGAATGTCCTTTCTCCATATAAAGTATTTTTTACATCTTTGGTTGAGCTTAAAATTAATTTAAAATGGTTTAATTCTTTTAATAGTTACAATGTTTTCACATTAACTTGCATGTATCTCAAAATTAAATAATAATTTTTGAAGCAAGACCCTCTTTTTGGCCTAGGGCTTTGTGTAATGTAAAAGGGTGAGTCCACTATTGAAGGTGGTTAGTCCCCAAGAACATAGTCATTCTCCAGTGGGACATTTTTTTCTCATTTAGTCTAGGGTTTTTGTGTAAGGCATTGGAGGTTTGCATGGCAGTGTCACAAACTTCTAATCTTGGGGTACTAAAGTGTGGAGCTAGGGCTATTGTTGGTGCCAACCTATGCTTACTAGTGCTCAATAGATGGAGGGTTAGGTTGGTTGTCCATGGGAGGTTGGTATGTAGATCACTGCGATGGGAGCAAAAGTGGCACAAGTGCCCTCCTTGGATTGGAGGTAGATAGGGGCACTAGCTTTAATCTCTGAAAGATTTGTGTGCAAAATCCCTAATGGTATGTTTCATTTGAAGGAAATGGAGGGGAGGCAAGGGGAAGGGAAGGATGGATTTCTTTTATCAATCAAATTACAATATTTAAAAATGTTATAATTTGATTATTTAAAAAACCCATTCCTCTCCTCCATTTCCCTAAAACCAAACATATCCTAAAGACAATGCTAGGTACACAATGGAAGGCAATAAGGTGTAAAAGGCGGTGGCTTGTGGCATGGATGGTGGGTTGAGAGTAGCATGCTAAGGCATGCTAAATTTTGGATGGCCAACCCATCAAGTTTTGAAGGGTTATAGCTTTTGTCATTTTCCTTATGCTTTGTGTAATATAGTTATGGTTTTTTGTTTTTAATTTTGGTTTTCTTAAATTTTACAATTACTAAAACCCAACACTAAAAATAAAAAACTTATAATTTATTTAAGTTGAGCTATAACAATAACAACAAAAAATATAAACTTGTTTAATAATTTCAAAATTATTTTGTTCTTAATATTTTAATAATTATGATAGTATGTTGCAAAAACAAATTAAAATAAAACAAAAAAATATAGTCATACTAAATAGAACCTTAATTTTAGCTTAGAGATTGAATTATAAACCCATGATTAAAATTATAGGTAGTTTTACTATCAGATTACATGGTTGATGATCTAAACAGAACCTTAATGTTTTTATAAGCTTGGTTCCATCAGTTTGGGTTTGGTCTAGGTTTAACTAATTGGGTATAGGAGACCTCGTGAGCAAAGGTTTATGATAAATAAGGTGATAACCTAGATTTTGCTATTCAAAGTTTGCTATGTGGGTTTTGTTGCAACAAACCAAAGAGAATGTTGGATCACAAGATCTATCTAGAATTTTCTTTGGTAGTAGAATGATGCTTCTTTGATAGGTGAGATGATAATTCTTTCAAGGGATTACCAATCATGCATGTTTTCTAACATTTGTTATTTATGGCTATGATCATTTTATTCGCAGACTTTACAAACCAACTTCTTAAATTATTAATGGAATTCTAATTTATAAAAAGAGAAAGGGAGAACAATTCTAAGAGCAAACCTCCGTTTTAAAATTGTCTTAATATCTCCCTAAATTTGAATGGTTTTAAGTTTCCAGTGGAAATCTTAAATGATTAAAAATTTGAAATCTAAGTTAATGATTTGACATCAAACCTTAAGACATATAAAAAAATTAAAGCAATATAAAACTTATTTTCTATTATATAACTAATTTATTATTTGATGTAAACAAAAGTAAAATAGTTTTAACATCTAGTCAAAAATCAAATTTTTCTTGAACTTGGGAAATTATGTAGACTCTCTTATATTTTAACCCCAAATTATAACAATTTTGAAAATTAAGGGTAAAATGATCAAAATTGACTCTTTATTACATTTATAGGGACTCAAAAAAAAAGTTTAGGGACTAACCAAAAAAAGTTGAAACGACAAAGTATCATACGTCGTTTTGAGGAATCCAATCACTCCGCAAAACTCGTCGATTCCTCCTCTAACAGGAAAACCAGAAAAATGAAGAAAGGAGTCTATTAGCTTTCTTCCTCACTCTCTAGCTCTTCTCCTTCCCCTCTTTCCAATTGAAATCCGATGAGCTCCTCTTAGATGACGAGAAGTTCGGTCTCAAGGCGCTCCACCTCGCTTCCCTGAATCCGCATCCATCCCTGCTGCTACTAGATCCCCACGGAAGAGGCATTTGGAGTCGGAGTCTAACTCCAAGATCCAGTTCTCTATGGAGCATGCTTTTGGTGACTCTGATTTTGTTCCCGTTGGCACCTTCTCTGCCCACCTCAAGACTTGGAATCACGGTGGCCAAGTTAGATTTAAAATCCAATGCTAAATTGCTTTTTGGAATTCATTTCTGATTACAAGTTTAGCTTCTTGTTTGTTTTCGCTCCGTTTTGCTGTTCTGCGGATATGTTTAATTGCTAAAATAAAGTTTAATAATTGAGGTACAAATTGGGGTTTATTAAAGAGCTTACACTTCCTCTTCCTCTCCTCTTTTTTCCCCTTTTATCTCGGAAACTCAATGAAGTTTTTGAATTCTTTTGTTGAGATTTGAATGATTGATCCTGATTTCTTTGTCAATTACAGTTTGCTTGATGTTCTTTTTAGAAAATTCCAAGTATGATAATGGATTTGACATGCAATTTTTCTTTGTGACAGACACTAACAAAGCTGCGGTTTTCAAGAAATGGTTTCACTGATGAGGAGAAGGAGAAGGAGAAGTAATTGCATATTATCTGAAATCCTGAATTTCATTTTTTTTTTTCATCTTTGCAAAAAATCATTGTACACCGCTTTGATTTGTATTGTTCCCTGTCCTGTAGAATTTGCTTCAAGGTGATGACTTCTACAGGATAAGGCCCCCATCTAATGTTCTAAGTCCTCCTGGGAGGGATTATATTATCTCATCAGTGAAAGCAGTAAGTTAACCACTTAAATGTTTTTTTGAATTCAAAACTTTTTGATCTCTCTGGTCAATTATCTTCCTCTTGAGGATTTTGCTACCATTTCGTAAGGTCTTAAGCTTGTTGGCCAAATGGACATTTACGTTTCTGCTTTTGGATTGAAACTTTTTGAACATGTAGTTATTTGTCAGATTTAAGGTCTTTACCAACTTATGTTCAACCAAGCTCAAAAGGGGGTCTCTGCAATCTGCCTGAAATCTGTTGATCACATAGCCTGCCTTGAATCTAAATGTTTATTTCATCTCACTGTTTGATCTTAGTTGCTTTTATTAAGAACTCTTACTCTTATCATTTGTCTAAAAGAAGTTGAATAATTTTCTCGTAAATTTGGATGCTATAAAAATTTGACATTAAAAGTTAAGAGCTTTTTTGTCTGAATTTGAAACTTTAGTTTTCAAATATTAATTTAAAAAATGTAATGCCATAATGCTCTTCCATCAATTACCAAATTATTATAAAAATTTAATTACGCTGTCTCTTTTTGAATTTGTATGGTTGGTCATCTTTTTGTTTAACTGTAGAGATGTCTTCCATGGGAGGGTTTGGACGACCATTTTGTCATACACACAGTAATTTAGAGTTAATTTTACATGTGGTGCTGCATCATCCCTTCCCCCTCTCCTGGGTGTGTTTGTAGGACAAGGTTTTGGATAATTTTTCTAATTTAGTCAAACCTATTATGAAGAAATTTGTTTTTCTGACTTTGCCGTGTAATGTAATGTGTAAATCTTTCTAACACTTGTGTGAAATGGGATTAACTCTAGTTTGATATTTAGCATATTTTTCAATGAAAATCATTATTTTTCCACTTTTAAAAGACTTTTTTTGATTCAATTAATGGTAATGAGTTTCCCTTTTTTGGTGCTAACTTGCCAAACATCATAGTAAATTTTTACTGCTTTGACATGCATCTAAGGTTTACTTGCTCATTTCTTTTTTAGATTACCATATGGTCGGTTTGTGTATAAAATTTGAAAATGTTATTTAAGGTGGTATATATGATGGTTGTCAAGATGAAACTTCCTTTTCTAGTTCTTGCTGTAGTTTGCCTAGTTGCCGTTGCTCTTTTACCCTGCTGTTGCAGGAAGGTGTAAATATCTTGGCAGTCAATTATGGGTCCCCAGGGGCATGTCCATATCCTCGGCAGTTGAAACTTTTGAGTTACAATTTATCTTTTACCTTTCTCTGGTTTCTCAGTTAGTTGAGCAAATTACAGAGATTATAGCCTCTTCCTCAAATTTTATGTTGTCATTGTTGCTGTTTGTTCTATTCTACAATTAGTTTAAGCAAATATCTTAAAAATGTGAATTTCCCTTTGTGTTACTACAAAATCTTTTCCTAAATTGAAGTTGTTATTTTAATATGTAAGGTGTAGAATCATACCTTGCCAACTCATAGATTTAATAGTAACTTTAAATTTAATGGGTTATATGGGATCTAAATTTTTTCTCCAACACTTGTCCTGGATGCTGGATCTACAGGAAATTTAGGTCACTTTGTAGTTACAGTTTCACATAGCATTTCTTGCACAATAGTATGGTCAATTAAGGTTCATAAGATTCAAAAACTATAACCTCATCAAGTGTACTTAAGCATGTCATGGCATTCAATATCTATTGTCTTCTAGTCTTTCAGAATATTTTATTCTTGCTGAGTAAAATGGAGGATTGATTTTGGCATACTGACTTTGCAATATTAACTAAACTTTCACAAAGATTAAAAGTGATTTCTTGCAGTCTTAAAAGTTTTCCTCTAGTCGTATTGTAATCTATGTTCGCTTTACAGTGAGCAAGCACCAAGGTATTCTCTTATCCATATTATTCACTTGTTTTTGAATCTAATATTATAGCTCTTGTTTTTTCAGGAAATTCCCGACATTATTAACTTTTTCTTTATCTTCAGTTTTATTATTGACATCTAACTGGAAGGTATTTCATGGCTTAAAGGAGAATTTATTGATTGTAAATTGCACTCTCATCCCTTTTTTTAACTGTTTCAAGAGCATAAGATACAGGTCTTCCTCAATGGACAAGTTTGTTTTAGTAAATAACTTAACTGTATCCACTTCATGTCCAAGCTAATCATCATAGTATACAATTATACATCATATTTGGAAATTCTCTATAGCAATTTTGTTTTCATTTTAAGTTGCTTTTTTCAATCTAAAAAACAAAAAGGTTGCTTTCATGGCCGTTTTGTAGGGCTCCAATCTTTACTGAAGAAGTTCACAGTGGTGAGAATGGGGAGGGTGAAGTTGTGCAGCCACCAAAAAGGTCTTTTTGGGCCAAATA